AAACAATTAACCGTTTCCTTTGCTGTCTTAGTTAAAATGGAACACTATTTTAGAAACAATGCTAAAAATATTCCTTCTCTCACTTTGAACTGCTTTGGAATGGAATTTTCTTGTTCTGTCTTCAGCGAAATGTGCTCCAAAGTAGTTTTGAAAGCTGTGATACGGATTAAACTTCATTGAAACTGTTTCCAGTACACTTTGGTCCTATCTGTTCTCCCATTCAATTTAGAATATGTTCAAAACTTTAAGTGCTAGGCTAAGATATGTAGAGCAGAATTTTAAGTGGGATTTTGCCTACAACATGGGATATTAGTAAAACATCTGTTTTGCTGATAAAACAAAAAGGTACACTTGTATTAAGTGGGTGCATCCATTCCTTTAATTTTGTGAACTACACCTGAAAATGTTTGCAGTGGGTTTTGAAAGTGTTTGTGATCCTGTAAAGGAAAACAGGTTCTTATCCAATATATAAACAATCTTTTTATTTAATGAATTCTTTTTGATCTATTAAAGCATAATTGTTGTGAGGATCAAGTCCTCAGGGGAAGATTAATATATATGTATATCATTACAAAATGATCTTCTTTCTCTTATGTTGTACCTAGCCTGAAAAATAAAATTATAAAAAGAACTGTATAATACTGCTCTGAAAGCTATTACTTTAAAAAAAAAAAAAAAAAAAAAAAAACTTTCCTTTGGATCTTAAAGTAGGGATTATACTGCATACTAGATCTTTTAGTCACAAAAGACATATTATTTAATAGGTGACTTTGCTGAAAACATGATTCTGTTTACCGGGAACAGTTTTAAAACCACAGAAGATGGATAGGACAAGGACTACATATATGTGATACACACATTCGTCTCATATCTGAGTTGACAGTTTTTTCCAGTGTGTTTTTGTTTAGTTGGGTGTATTTTAACTGTCATGTTGCAAAAGGCCACAATATCAATTGTATATGCAATAAGACATAATTCCTGTAGGCATAGTTTACTTTCATGTATTTCAGGATTTGGGTTTGGGTTTTTTAGACCCTAATAATCTGTATAAACTTAAAGTAAAACTCAATTAAAAATAGAATAATGTGGAAATGGAATATGTAAGGTTTTTTTCTTTCTGCATACTTCAGAGGGATTGATCACAGAAATGTCTGAATATTAACTCTTTTCAATTTTCTTAAGTATTTGTTATTTGTGATTTTTCTGAGGATTTTCCAGGATGATTTTTTGGATGATTTCATTAACTGTAGATTCCATGAGACTGAAATCCTTGGAGATTTATGGTGCACAAATACCTTTATTGATTAATATAATTAATTTATCAAGAACAATTCACAAAGGAAGAAAAAGCTTTTTGAAAAGTTAATTAGAACATAAATTCTGCAATGAATGCTCTCTCAGCCTCTATAAAAAGAGGAATTTTTCACATAAACATTTAATATTAGGTTGACTGTAGGCATTCCAATAGAATAATAGTGGAATTACGTGACTCTGTAGAAGGATTTTTTTTTCCCCTGTTCTGTCTCTTTTGCTATTAATTTAAAACAAATGCAATAGTTAAAGAGGTCGTTATTCAGAATGAAGTGTTCTTAGTAATTACAAGTGTTATTTTGGGGAATTGTTACTTTTATCATATAAAATTCTGTTTGGAAGTGAACTCATCTCCTTCCTATGTATTTCAGCCCAACAATTTAGAATTTGATCACCTCACATTAATGCGCCTCTGCAAAGCAGAGGGTGATTTTTCAGTGGAAGCATGCAATAAAACCAGGAACTTGGTAGTATGGGTGTGTTCTGGACAGGAGGACACCTACTTGGTTTCTGTCTTCTCTCTAGTTGCAATTATGCTGGCAGAGAATATATTGGCAGAAGTGACCCGAGGTAACTGAGGACAGACAGGTCACTGTTCAAATTGTGCAGGAAACTAATACACTTAGTTCCAGACTACCTCTCAAGGCAGACAGCTACACTGTTTTTCAAAAGGTACCAGTTCTTTGGCAGGCATTTGCCTCAAGCCATCACATCCTTGGACTCACAAGATGATCATAGTGAGAGGACTATGTGGACAATAAAGCAAAGCTGTCCTGGTGTTAAATTGTGTCAGTGTGAAAATTCTGATCATTTGAGAAAAAGCAATAGCAGCTATCATGTTGAGACCTCTAACATCACACTTAGACATTAGCAGTAGGTTCTTCTAGAAACAGTTTATTCCTTTCATGTAAAGTTCCATATAAAGGAGACCACTAAAGAGTCAATGCAGAGTAATAGATAATACACTAATTCAAGTGTTAAATCCCTTACAAGAGATTTAATGACCTTTATGTAAGCTCAGGCTAAGTGAGAACATGTCACCATGTCCTGTAAACTTCATTTTTGGATGAAGTGGAAATGTCCTCCTGTGATCCTGACCTCAGTTTCAGGACCTCACTATAGCAGTTGAGAAGTGTGCACAGCCTGGACCAGAGATACCCAAAGCAAGCACTGCAGGGGCTGGTTAGTCACACCTGCTCGGTGTCATCTACATGCTTCATCAAGCATGGAACCATGTCAAGCCAATAGCTGGGTTGAATTGCTTTAAAAATCTACTGCATCATTTGAGAAAGAAGGGATCTGTATTCCCTTGCTTGCTAAATGGACCCTGTTTTGTGAATGAAGGTTTGAACGATTTGTGGTTTTGGGGGTGGGTTTTTTGTGAAAATGACTGTTCTAAATGTAGGAGCCACTAAAGCAATGCTTGATAACTGCAAGCGATTAATGGATAGCACTAAAGAATAGTTTGGGGTAACCAGTAGACATGATTAGTATGAACAAATAGCATTGTCTCTGTGGAGTGTAGAGTACTTGGACCCAGGTGGCTGTGGTCTATTTGGTGTTTACACCTCAGGCGAAGTAATAAGAATTTCCTGCTTGTTTTGTAAGCAAACTCTAGTCATGGAAAACACTAAGTCAAAACTAGTGCCAGCTGCTAGGAGTCCATACAGCACTCCTTATATCTTTGAGTTACATTATGCTAGAAATGCAGGAAAGAGACAGATGTATAACTGCACTGCCCTTTATTGAGGCTTAATTGAGGATATCATTCTAACCCTGAAGTTTTCACCTGACAAGCAGCTAAATACAGAGACTGGACAGAAATATTCGCATACATAAACATACCATCCAGAAGTATATGGGGGTAATATATCTTCTCTGTAGGAGAACAAGAAAGTCAATGATATTACTGATAAAAATACAGATTTTTTTTTATTATTATTAAAGCTTGAAGATTTTTGCCAAACAAGCAGTAGTTTTAATATAGATTTTATCTTAGAACGGGTTTGTGTGAACTGACACAACACTACAATGTTCAAATTGAAAATCTTATGGTAGAATACTTAGCTGTCTAAAGAAAAAAATATTTTTTTAACTTATAGACATTTCATTGGTCCTGAGTGTGTTGGATCTTTTTATTCAAAGAATTGATAAGACACTTGTATGCAATAGTATATCCATATGTAGTATCATCTCTGTAACAGCTTGGTTTGTAACTGTATGAATATGTAGGTAACTAATAATAGGTATAATATCCCCACTGACTTTTGGTGCTAGTGCTGAACAAATGTTTTAGCTTGTGTGAAAAAAGGTAAGCTTCAGGACTACTACCATCTCTGAGTATGGGTTAAATTCAGAAAACAGTTTTATTCTTATCTCTTTCCTATTCTGAAGAGAGATGGAAAAAAGTAACAAAAATCAAACTAAGCCTTTCAAAATTAAATATTTCAGAGTTTATACAAGTGGTTTTTTTTTAAATTAAGATAGGAAAAACTTTAATTCGTACACAAAATTTAAAAATCAATTATTGCACTTATTTAGGATTTCTCACAAGTACAAGATTATTCACATGCAGATCATCTGCAGGAGCATGGCTTAACAATGATTATTTGAGCTTGCAGGTTTTCTTAGATGTAGAAATATCTAACATCTTAATGATTAAAAATTCCTTGAATAAATTTCCTGTGAAAGTCAAAACCACTAGGCTTTAGAAAATATACCGTAGGTGGAAGATTCCTTGTGGAGCTGTGCTAATACATGGGAGCCTGAATCTGAAAAGTCCTCTTTATTGCGCTCCTCAAGAGTAGGCTTTTGGAGTGGCAAATGAAAATGAGTCTTCAGAACTTACTCCTCTTTGAAAACTAAACTTACTCCTCTTTGAAAACAAAACTTCTTTTCTCTAGTGTCTCACAGAGAAAATCCAGTGAGCTTAACTCTGTGTTGTCTGGCATCTCTGTATTTGAAACTGTCCTCCAATGAAATGGAGCACAATGAAAATGAACGTTTTTCACTGTTGTGTTCAAGAATTTTCAGATTTTTGTATCTTCTTAAGATGTTTTCTTAAGTATACAGCTGAGGAGACCAATAACAAAAAGATAAATCTGTAGATGATGAAAGGACTTTCGTGAGCTTAGTAGTTAACATAATAGTTCGAAAATAAAAGAATTTACAAGTACTTGTTCAAATGCACTATGTAGAGAGTGAATAAAATAAACAGCAAGATGTGTTGTGATAGGAACTCAGATGATCAAAGGGAACTACTGAATAGGCATCGTTATTCTTTCAGATAAAATAAGGAAGTAATTCCTTTGAGAGTTTTTGTGATCATTTCTGTTGGAAAACTTTGTATGCATTACTCAGAAATTCAATGAAGAGAAAAGCAATACAGCCTAGATAATAGGGTCAGCTTTGAGCACGAGGGAGGTGGCATGTGGACATAGCTTGAGCTATTTCTCCAAATCATTTGAATGGAAATATTGGATTAGTTAACCTTGTGTCAGGTCTGTTAGTTAAATAAACCCTCCGACTGTTCCTGACTGAAGGATGCATAGTTGTGACTGAAAGATGCTGCTGCTTTTCATTAGAATTTTGTCAAACATGTCCTGCTAGCATAATGATTTTAAAATAAAATGGTTTATTCGATGGAAAAGGATAACAAGCAGAAAATTCACAGACTTTTCTTTTCACAGGGTGTTTCAGCCCAGTAGGAAATCCTCTTAGCCGAACACTATTGGGTAGACTACAGACGGTATGGAATTCTATCTTTGCATTTTTTTTTTTAAATTGATGTTTAACTATAAAACTGTCGTTATTCACAAGTTCTCATTGTAGAGAGGTGGGTTTTTTTATTCTGTCTTTATTCAGGTGTCTTCAAGCAAATTGTCTACATGGGCAAATCAGCTTTCACTGCAGCCAGCTGGTAGTGAGAACAGATATCTGCAAATAAAAGCTGTATATTTTTTCATTATGTACATTTTTTTTTTTTTTTTAGGAATAAATAAGATAAAATCACAATCCTGTGGTTTTGATTCTAATTAAGAACGTAGGCATTGAAAAGTAGGGAGAGATAGCTGGTACAATGACTTGAAATTTAATCCTCTTTGCAGCACCATATTTTAATTGTTTACTCATAATTCAACTTTTTATAACAAGTGAAATCACAACTATTCTCTGTATATTTACTTTCTTATCTGTTAAATATTGATTGGAAACTTCTAATAATTATATTTGTTCCTTTTGTTATTTCTGGTTTCCTGATCGTCACAGTAAAAACACAATAGAATTTGTAAATGCTATTAATTCCAACTATACATTTGATAAAACTGGTTTAAACACAAAACGTATGGAGAGACTAGTGACGGAAGAATGAGAGTGGTGCTTCTGAACACTGAACATGTGTGTGGCTCTAGAAAGATGGACCTGTTGTGCTGGAGATGTTAGTCCTCCTGCACCCATGAACAGAACAACGTGATTTAGTATTCTGAATATTCTGTCTTAATTGCAAGCTAATGGTAACTTCTGAGACAAAAGTTAGAAATTAACTTAACTTAACTTGGATCGTTTACAAGTGGTTTACTGTTTGGATTTAGGGTTTTGGTTTGGGTTAGTTTAGGGTTGTTTTGGACCTACTTTATTAAACAGAATCTATTAATAGTGTTGCGGAAGACTTGTAAGATACATAAGATTCACCAAGAAAATTTGAAAGTAGTTTTACATTGCTATTTTGTTAGTGGCCAAATGGTTCTTGTTTTCACATTTTCAGTTTTTTAACCACGAATATGTAATTTCTATTAAAAAATATAAATTGTTCAATCAGAATTTTAGTGTTCACCACTGCAAGCTTTATAAACATTTACAGGACCAGCTGTTTTGGAAAATAATTAATAGCAGCTAATTTAAAATATTTCTTTCTGAGAGGTTTAAATTAAAGTTTTGAAGATTTTTATTACTTTTTCTGTTATAAATACAGTTATATATATGCAATAAGTGCAGGTAAACTGAGTAGTTTGTATCAAGAAAATATCACATTTACAATTGACAAAATACTTGGAAGAGTTTTTGAGTAATTTCAGGAGCTGAAGTACTTCATATGCTTCTCAATTGATCTTTTTCCCCTTTCTTTCTTTGCTTTGTTTTATTTTTTTTAATCCCTGTAGGCTTTACTGCAGCAGCTGTGTTTGCATTTCTGTTTTCTGTTTGTACATTGTAGGTTTCAATAAAGTACAGCCTGGCACAGTTTTGGGTTTTTTTTTTTTCCTCTAGGCAAATTATAGATTCCCATGCTCATTAAATATTGAAGGGCTGTAATCAAATAAGGGTTGTAGTCATCTGAAGCCTAAGGAAGTAACTTTACAAGGTCCACAGACAGATTAATTAAGGCCAAAGAAGAGTACATTATTCTTAGCAATTAATACTTTTAGAATCATTTTAATTTACCTATAACTATTGCCCTTGTACATCTGTTTCCCATAGACTAAATTTGTACAGTGAAGTAGTCCTGAGCTAGGAACGTGTTGACCATTAACTGGAATAGAGAACAAGAACAAAAATACAACAGTGCTAACAGTATTCAATTATTTTATGCTAAGTCTCAGCCCTTTCATTTAAAACTTCATTTACTGGGTTAAAGAGATTGCATGACATTCTTAGGAGAGGATTAAGTAAATTTCTAATCCTTGGGTTCGTAAGGAAAAATTAACACAGTGGAGCAATTGTGAAAGCTCAGGTTGAGTCTGTAAAATTTTTGTATGTTTTAAATATTCTGTCACTTTTAAGCCTGTTGTGGGGGTTTTGAGCAACTTTTTTTTAATTTCTGTTGCCTTTAAAAAAAAAAAAAAAAAGAACCAAACATAAAACAAAAACAACAACAAAACCACTCCAAAGGTTAGCAGCATCAGAATCTAGGCTGTTACAAATTGAGGCACGGAATTGCTAAACAAACAGGAGAAGCTTTAACACTCATTCCTTGTGTCTTTACTGGAATGTTTACACGTGTAGCACTCCCAGTTTCTCTTGCATTCTGGCCAATAGCAGGTTTAGGGAGGTGGAGTTGGAGAGGAGCAGTCTACATCCAAGAAGTAGATGTTTTGCCCTTCTTTGTGTCACTGCTTCTATCAGTCTAACAGGAAGAGGAGGGAGGGTGGATTGGCCAGGTATATACACATGTTGAGGTTCACTCTGGTATGTGTACTGTCTGCCTAAAATTAATGTTAGAAAAACTTACTTTCCAAGTGTAGTTATTAAGAGTTAATGGCTAATTAGAAGTGGGATTTAATCTTCATGTTCATTCTGCTACAGTGAAGAATGTATTTAAATATAAGGAAGAAGCAGGGGAAACCACTGGTAGACTACGTTTTCCATATTTTTTTTTCTTTAAACTTTGATATTGTGGTATTTGAAATATATTTGTTCAATAGTAGAAATGATAACCTAAAATTTTTACAGAAAAGGCAGTAACACACATATCACTTGGTCTTACTCGGTATTGCTTCTCCTAAGGGAATGAATGGCATTTAATACCCAAATCCTCTTGACTGCTATACATCTGCATGAGTAAAAGCAAAACCTGTTACCACAGTCACTGCAACTGTCTATTTAAAAAGAAACCATAAACATTTTAATTATTATTCCTATTATCAGGAATTGGTGACACTTGATATGGCAATTGATTTATCAGTTTTCTCTTACTTGCAATGCTCTCGTTTGTATTAATGTTTTAAAATGTTTTCCTTTGTGTTAGAAATGTCAAGGCTACCTAAGTGGATTAGTCATGGATAACCAGCATGACATTTCAGGGTCTAGAACTCTGCATCAACTGCTGGATCTGCTTTTCTGTCTGTCAATCTATCTTCTTCTGAAGATGTTCCTTATTCTGAAAGCTCCTAACAGCTTTGTTCAAACAAAATCACTGTGACGTGGTGGGCTTTTTAGCAAGCATTTTGTTCCTGTTTTTCACAGATGGTCTGCTTCCCAAAAACATAACCATAGCCCCGTGCCCCTTCCGATGCAAGAGAAGGATTAACTAGTTTACATCTGACATTTAAAAAGGAGACAATATTGTATTAAGACCGATGTATTCATCCACCTCAGTATGTCTGTTGCTTTTTTGGAATCCTGAAAATGTGGCTTAATCTTGTGACACACATAAAAAAAATGAAGTTTCTCAACTGAAAGGCGAGTGTTTTTTTCTGGGCGTTACTTGCAGCGTACGTGGTAGTTGACACTCTTGGAGAAGCAGCAGCAGCGTGGCATGCCCCAGGCAGTTCTGCTGCCGTGCAGTAGCTGCCTCTGTGGTAGGCAGCCGTGGCAATTCCTCAGCCTCGCTGGAGGAGGCAGGGTGTGTGTGCAGCCCATTACGTACTTGGAGTATCTCTTTAAGAGGAAACTTGGGGTTGTTTTTGCCTTAAAAGTTTAACACAGTGTCTGAGAACATTCAGCATAGTCTCGGGATGACTCATGGATTTTAGCTTGTTATTTCCAAACAGCTCGCTCTCTTCGAGCTCTTCTTACACTGAGTGTTTGAGAGCACAAAAATACTTTATTAAAAAATAGTGAGACAGATTGAGACACAATAATGGGGCAATATGAGTACCTGAACTAGATACCTAAATACTACTGCTAATAATTCTGATGAATCATTTTTGAGCAACAGGAGGCACTCCCATCCCACAGGCTAAGCACATTGCCTGCACAATTCTCTTAACCTTGAGAATGGAAAATGAGAATTAGCTGAAACCTGTGAGGCAGTGCTAACTACCAGTGGACCACTGAACAAGCCATGTACTCTGAACTGCAGCTCTACCAGTCCTTGTTCAAAATTTGTTTATCAAATCAGGCAGTTAAACTTTTTTTTCCCCCCCTGTGTTCTTACATAATTATTCAGAACTCTAGGTGGTAGGCTTAGATGCTCTGGTAGATGATAAGAACTGAGTGCAACTGTTTGCTTTTGTACTGTTTTCATCTGTACATACTGCGTGTCTCTGACTACTATGGCAATACTGAAACAATCTGGAGACTGGACAGAATCTCTGTGTTCAGGATAGTGATTTCTTTCCCATATGGGGAAAGCCTGGCTTTACCTGGGAAAAAACGTTGAGAGCAAGAATATTCTAAAGAATGCCATTTATTCTGCTGAGGATTGCAGCAATGATGTTACTTGCATCACCCTAATTAAAAAAAAGGCAATAAATTTTAGATATATGTTTTGAAAAGCAAGAGAAGAAAAATTAATGCAAAGTAAAGTTATAGGAGGGACTGTAAAATAAAAAAGGTGAAGTATGTTGAATAGAAATTCTGAAATTTAAGTGTTTGTAATGTGGTACAATCTGTTATGGATGAAGATGTTTGCTTCACAAAGCTCACATGTGATTTTTCTCTTCTATAATACTTTAATATTTGTATCCTTTGACACACACAAAATGTAGGGGAAACTAGTTTCCCATTTGTGAAAACAGACCATTGAAAAAAAATTAATGCCAGCACAGGAGTTCCATCTCTGCCTTCGTTCCAAATTGTTGTTTCTCTGCTAATCTTCATATTTTTTCTACTTTAAATCTTTCAATCCATTAGAAGAATGCTATTGTTTGACAAAAATCAAATTTTGTAGATACAGGCACATCTTAACTACTGCATTATATACCTGCTATTCCTTTGACTTCATTGGAAGTCTGAAGTGGTAAAGGTAGAATAGTTAGAATTAAATGGAAAGTTTTGGTTATAGAGACCAACCTGAAATTCTCCATTATATGAAAGGGACATTTTTGCTTACTGGTTCAGAGGTAAAATTCACTGCAACGAGTTAAATGTGTGCTGTAGTGTTTGCAATGCAAACAAGCTTAGACTGCATACTCATCAATCCTCTGTCTTCCCCCGTGTTGTCTTTAGTGTAGTGTGCTTACTTGAAAAAGTCTTATCATTTTCTAAATATCTATATAGCCAATATTACTCAGTGTTGCATAATATCACTTCTGCTTTTTCTTTTTTAAAAAAAGCATTTTAATGCAGAGAATTCTTACTGGCTTACAGTAGGCATGAAAATATACTACATTCTAGCTTATCAAAATACTTCTTATTAAAGTTTTAAATAATTTCTTCTTCTAGAATGATGACTGCCTGACTGCACTGGGGGTGAGAGGAGGAACCAGTTGTCCACTAGGGCAAGAGACAGTGAGTATTGTGTCATTTTTTTTGTGGTATCTTCTACACCTGTTAGTGTGTCTGTGCTTTTGAAAGCATTCTTTTTTGGTTTTAGTATGATCCTAAGGATTATTTTTTGCTACCCTAAGTATTCAGCTTCTTACAGACATGTTCACAACTGGCATAACCATGTTACTGCTGGTTTTGTATTGCTCTTGAAAAATAATTTGTAAATTTTTTTTTTGTACTTGAACTTGGACCTAGACAGCAACTTAAGACGTGTCTGAATGTCCCATCAGAAGAAATAACATTGCTTTGGTTGTAATTGTGTCTTACGTTCTTCCGTGGTCCTGAGGTGCATTTCCTGTATCCCCTTATGGTCATTTTCTGATCATATGTCTCCAGAAAATATAAGAGCAATTTCCACATTTTGTTTACAATGTTGGGCTTGCTAAACCAGTTGTATTACAAGAGACAGTGGTATTTTAATTTTTTATTTCTAGGAGACAGAGGGACTTGCTTGATTGGTCTGAACTGTTTGTTGGCAGTGTTTCCATGTTACTGAATTTTTGTAATTTTTTTCCAAAAACCAAAACAGTTAAACCAGAACTGTCTTACAAAAGACACTAGGAAGAGGTATTTGTTACCCTGACTTGAATTGTTATTCATGCTGTCAAGTAATTAGTATTACATTCTTTTTTTTTTTTTTTAACCTTAAGTGACCCCGTGACTTTCAGAGTACTATTGCTAAAGGAAACTGTTGTCACTTAACTGAAGTGGGCACTGTTAGAGCACCCCTTACTGGACACGATCGTTCAAGCTTCCAGTTCTCTCCTGTTTCTCTGTGCCACTCCTCAGTGTGTTTTAGCTTGGTTCTATTCTACAGTTCATATTTCTGTATTGTCAGCATCACCTGTAATTAACCTATTATCTTCCCTAATGCAGGGAGGAGGCTTTTGATAAAAGGTATTTCATTGCTTAGCTTCTTTACAGAAGTTCCAGTTTACTGAATGCATATTTAGATAAATTTACTGTCTACTGAGAACTATGCTGATATTAATTCTTTGATGCTGACCAGCTTACAAATTACCACGTAGAATTTGCAATGGTAGAATCTTTTCCATCTTTTTCCATTCATAACTGATTTAATCTGTTTAATTGGTAATGTGGAATTATGAAAGTACAAGTGACATTGGCTACATTTTCACAAACATAACTCACAGGTGATGTTACTCTTAACAGAAATACAAATATAAAAAGAACTGCACAGTTCAGCAGCATTAGGATTTCAATGCATGCATGAGTAGTAAAAAAAGGAAGCTTTTTCTCCAAATTCCTATCTTCATACTAACTTTACTGTCTCCTTCAATTCCCTGTAACCTCATATTGCTCCTAACAATTCCTTTTTTCTGACCCCTTTACTTAAAACTTCATAGAGGAATCGGAGGCGAAGATTATGTAGGGAAGCAGTGTTCTTTGTGTAAAATAGGTCATAATTTTGCTCTTGACTTATGATGAGGGAAGTGAGCTATTCCCTTATTCTTTCCGTTCATTTCCTTTTCAGTCTTTTCTGGTCTGAATTCATCAGGACAGGGTTTTGTTCATAGGGTGTAGGAAATAAGTAAGAAATTACACTTCATATTTTCATATCCAGGGTAGAAAGCAGGCTTCTGGTCACGTATTCTGTGTCGTATGCGTGGTGCAGACCACTATTAGTACTTTTTTCCAGAGAAGTATAGATGCACTGTATTTCACTTACAAATGGATTTATTATGGGAAATGGAATATCAACGTATTTTTGGCAGGTATTTATAAAATTGTATATGCAAATCCTTATTTCTAAAAAAAAAATAAAATAAAAAACACCCAAAACCCAGAAAGTGGCATGATCAAAGCGAAACTTCGCAATGATATTTTTGTACTGAATTTTTCCTGTCATACTGTTGAAGTATTTATTCGCACACATATGCGTCGTGAGCGCACACAGAATGAGATCTGAAGGTGGTGTAACAATTCTGAGAAAGTGAATGTATGAAGTTGTTTTTTTTTTTTTTTTTTCCTTTTGCTTCACAAGTAAATTGGTTATAAAACTAACAGCTGCTGTTTTGAAGCTAATCTTAGAGAATTGAATGTTCTTAACCATTTCTACAATCCCACAGTCCTTTATCTTGCCTCTCCTGCTGCTTTCCCACCACCCCTGATCCCATTAGCAAGACTTGAGACAGCCTCAGCTTTTACCAAACTGCAGCTTTGGTTTCAGCTGCTTTTCTGCAAGAGGAAGTGAATGTTGCGCTTTTTTCTCTGTGGCATGGTTGTGATAAAGCTGTGGTGCTCTTATCTCTCTTTTAGGTAGTGGCTCTTTATGACTACACAGCGCATCGATCAGATGAGCTAACCATCCATCGCAGTGACATTATCCAAGTGTTATACAAAGATAATGATAACTGGTGGTTTGGCAGCCTAGCAAATGGACAGCAAGGCTATTTTCCAGCTAATTATGTGGCTGGTGAAAGTAAGTTTACTGCTGTCTTCCTGGTATACCGGTGTGGGTTTAACTGATGGTCCAAGATTTAACCATGCTGTACTGCTTATTGTTCTGAAGATATGAGTTTCTGTAGCACACAGATGGCAAAATGATGAGTTGTTGTGATGTAGAAATTGTATAAAGTTAGCTAACCACTTAGCAAGTTGACGTACCTGACTGAGGAAGGCATTGGCACTTAAACACTCCACTTACACAGTACTGGCTTAATTTTCAGTCAACTGGATTGATTCCTTTTAGCTGCCTGGTTCCTGCCCTCCCCTGGCAATGTTTTAGGACACATCAAAGCATTTCAGAGACATCTTGTTTTTTTCTTAAGCAATCTCTGTTAGAACCAGGTACTTTTGTAAGAACTCTTGATCTTTCCTACTACTCTAATGGAGAATGGTCAATTCCCAAATAAGTGGATTTCATTATGAAGTTTTAAAAGACCAGTAGTGGTTAAATCTCATGCATGAGCATTGAGCTTGTTACCAGGTCCTTGTTGTTAAACCAGTTTTGAGTAAACTGACACAGACAAACTTAAGCGAGTCTGAACAAATCATATAGGAAGCATCTTAATTAGTCAGCTGATGTAAAGATGCACAGTGTCCTAACAGTTCTTAGCATTCAGCATATCGATATAGTATGTGGTTGCATGGTACAAGAAATTCATTTGCCTTCTTAAGCTATCAAACTATCAGTTATACTGCTGTTTAGAAATCTTTAACTCAATATTTCTCAAGATGTCTTTTTCCTATTTTCTAGTTCCTTCCTCTAAGTGAAGTCTAGAATTTATGCCTCTTTCCTAAAAAAATCTTGGACAAAACACTGTGCTAACCTGGTGATAGTAATTAAAGTTAGTTTAACTGCTGCCCTTCCCCATTGTTCCCCCCTTGCACATCCTGTGCGTTTTCTCTTTCCATTCTGCCTTGCAAAGTAAGCCAAAGAGCAGTCTGTAGGAAGAGTATTCAGTTGATGGCCTGTTGTTCTTAAAAAAAACGACTAAACCAACCAAACCAAAATTTTAGAAGCACTAGCCAACTGTGGAGAAAAACAAACAAACAAACGCTGGTATGTAATTTTTTCAGTTGGTGGCCATCTTATTATTGAATCAAAAGATATTCATACCTGTGTGTATTTAAGTATCAGCTGCATTGCTATCAGTATGGACTTTGTTCTCAGTCGTGTAAATGTTTGATAGTTTTTATTTCATATAATTACCTATATAAACTACCTATATATAAATTACATTTAAATCTAAGCTTACTAATATAAAAATTTACCCATTAACTTTTATTTATCAATTCTCATCCAAAGTTTGGCTTCAAACATTTTCCACCTGTTTCAGTTTATTCCCCATTTTTTACTATATTGTAATGTCATGGTTGTTCACGTAAAATAGATACTATCATAATTCTTTCCTGACTCTCATAATGGTGAATTATGGATCCTGTTTTCAGAAGAGTGTGAAGAACAAAATTCAGGATCAGTACAAGATTCTGCCACTCTCCTACCTGAAGGACCAACAGAAGCAGTGGAAGGTTCTCCAGCACTACATAAGGTAGTAACTTGAGAAGGAAGGATTCTGTAAGCAGTCATGGAGCATGTCTTTGTGTGCCAGGTGAAATGTATTAATTTTTGCTCCTTTTTGGAAAAATCTACGTGTAGACATTGTTCCAGGCAAGCAGGTAGATCTTCAGCAGATAACTAATGTTTGTCTCATGTGGAACCAGCTGTTCCATTATGTGATAATAATATTCTAGCTACTTTTGCACCATTGTGATGAGTAACAAATCTCCCATTGTCCCACTGTTTACAGAAGTATCTCTCACAGCTACCTCATGTAAGCAATGGTTGAAGAAAGAACATGGATTTAGCAAAACCTAACATACTTTTATTGACTCCCAGTTCCTAGAATATAAGCTGCCCACAGATTCTTCAAACTTTCTGCCATGAATTTCCTTATCAGCTTGCTTAGGGAAAAAAAAAAGCTGTGATGTTTTTATCTCTCAAGTTTTTCAAACCACATAATAATATCTCGGTTAACAATACAGAATGTGATTATAAAGCCTATTGGCAGACCAGGAGATAATGCTGCATCTAAACATGCTTACTTGTCAATGGATGTTTCTGTTTAAAAGCTGATGTGAATGACTTGCGTCCATGTTGTAGGTTCCTCAGAAGGATGGACTATAGAGACTTCATAGTTTGGAGGAGCAAAGGAAAGAATGGGTTTTGTCTTGACTATATGCAATACCTTTCCAATCCTATCATATACCTATGTTGGGTTGCAATTGCATATGGCATTATGTTGCTTTTTATGTATTGCATACTGTATTGTACACAGAAACATTCCTGTTTCTGTGATTTTTAGAGAGCAGTGGGAACACACTATGTACAGAAGAACAAGGAAACAGCAGTCAGCTTTTAACAAAGGAAAAAAATAAGGCGTTGATTTCCCCCCCCCCCCCCCAGATCTTTAGAGATACTGCTATGTGCAAAGCAGGCCAAATAACTCTCACTTCTCCAGGCAGAGATTAGAAACTCTGCATAGCTTATGTTCCCCTTCTGTGAAGTAAGACTGATGATTGTATTAAAACATGGGATACTTTGTCAGAAAAAGAAAAAATAATAGAAATTAGCTCAATTACTGCTAGATTTTGAGAACTGTTTTATTCCAAAATGCGTCCTTCTTAAGTGTGCTTTCCACAAGTATTCATTAAGTCAAATGCTACTAACATAACTACTTTAAAAGTGACTTTGTTCAGATTTCCTCCAAATGACTTGACTTTTCCATGTACTTTTCTAGAATTATATCTAATATTTTGTCTGATTTGCAAGACTCAAAATGTATTCTGTGTTGCTTAGCTACTTTTTTTTTTCAGATGATTTATCTAATCTTTGCTGCATAATATATATTGCAATGTTCAAGGTTAAAACCCTCAAAGCAACTTCTATTATCCTTTTTTGTGTAGCTTTTGTTTTTAACAGGTAAATAGAGAGAGGTAGCATTTAATAAATTATTGAGTACAGATTACTCACTCGGCAGTCTTGTTGAAGCCAGCTGTCGTGTTGAAGCCAACTGCTATAAATCAAGTTGCTGAGTGTTTTGTTTCTAACTATACTTGAAAAACAGAATTAATCACTATGCCAAGTAGGAATAATTAATCTGAAGTATCTTTTACCTCTTTGTAGCTGTGGAACTCATAGCCAAACCATTGTCCGAGAAGGGCAAGGGTGCATGTGCTTCCAGATACTCCTGTAAAGACAGATTGCAGCAAATGCGGGAAAAATTACAACATTACTGGAAAGCATGAAGATTTATTTCATTTGTTGTCTACATTACTGGAGGCAAGGAAGGAGGGAATATGTTGCTGCTCAACCACTTTCACTCATACCCAGATTAGAAAAGGGAGAAGTGCTGAGATACATACTGTCATTAAGGACTTGATGATTTTTAGCCACATAATTTTTCTGTTTTAATCTATTAGGAACTCACTTGATTTACTGGGACAAAATACTTCTATGTGCACTAACTAGTATTACTGGCATTTACAACCAGTACGTTTTTTATTCATCTTTATGAGAAGTAATGTTGGATTAGTGTTGATTGCTTTTAAGTTCTCAAGTGTCTATGGTTGACATATTTTTCTAAAATAGTTTTTGTATTACGAGTAGCTCTTTTTTGGTAATGCTCAGTTTTAGTAATATTTCATTGAAATATTCTTGGATTCTATCAGCACTTCGAGTTAAAATGACTGCATGTTTAATAGTTAGCTGGAATTTTGTAATAGTCTAATACATACAGATATTCAAAAGACAGAATGAATAATGTACACAGTACCAGTCCAAAACCAAACAGATATGTTGCTTTTTATCTTGCACATCATCCAAGGGCATTACAAAATCATGGAGTCCAGAGGCGAGTCATGAAACATGTACAAGTCCTGAAAAAAATGTGTAAGAGGATATACTTACAAGATTAAACTAGCAAAGAACAAACAGTGGAGATAGTGTAGAAAATAGTACAGAGATACAGAGAGGTGAATTGGGTGCACTCTTTTTTTCCCCCACCCCTTCTGCTGTTAAACAAGATCAGGGAAGTTTAAGCTGGAATGGAACACTTCTAATATTAGTAAGAGGAAATTTTTGTTGTGCCGTGCTTAGTTAACCTGATGAACCTAGGTGCTACATGACACTATTAAACTTAGGTGCTAAGAGATTAATTTTTTTAGTAACACATTCTAGGCTGAGATAATGGCTGAGATTCCAAAACCATCTAAATGACTGGGAAACAGAAATCCAGCTCATTATATTTTTTTTCTTAATTTCAAGTTACCAAGAAGACAGTGAGTTGAAACAAATGATGAATCAAATCCCTGTGTAAGACTTGTGATGCTTTATAGTTTTACAGAAGCTGCAGCGTGCTACATAGAAGAAACAAATTGTCATTCAACTCTTTGTCATAATGAAGGACAGTTCTGCTGCACTTTGGCTTTAGGCAATACCAGATACTTCTGAGACAAAACTGCTAAGAAGACCACTGAGGGGGCTGATCGGTTATGGCAGTTCCTGTGTTGCAGCAGTGACACAGCAGCTTTTCTTCCTATTCCTTTCTTTCTTTTTTTTTTTTTCCTCAGTATAAGAGTTGGTGAAAGGAAATGCCAATTTCTTTTATCTGGGATATAATCATTGTTTTGTAATGCTCTATGGTTGGTTGATTTGGTTTTTTTTTTTTTGCGTTGGCAGAAAATGAAGCACTTTTTTGGGGTTTAATCCAAAAATATTTATCAAGTTATTAAGTTGTTGCTTAAGTTGTTACCACAAGCAGGAACATACAACTGACTTTATTGGTTATGTTTGGTTTTTGGCCACCAGCATGTTTTCCCAAATAGTTATATCCAGGTCTGCTGTATGTACTATTCTTGGTTTTTTGAAGTATACTTAAATACTTAGTTCTGTTAAAACTGCAAAACACAGTTACTGTGAAAATCATCATAGCAGTTACTCATGAGATTTTGCTTCCATACAAGACTAAATAGTGCATTTAAAATGTAGAATACTACTATGGTTTTAATTACTGAGAATACCAGATAGTCTAATTAAAAATAGTTTTCCAGCTTCAGGTATTCTATATGCATATCTAGCTAATCATCAGAATTTTATGGTGAGTGAATAAAATGGAATCATTGACATTAGAAGGGGGTGTAATACTCAAGATCCAGTATTAATCTTTGCAAGTTAAAAAAAAAAAAGTTGTAGTTCAAAGAATCTGTTTCCAGAATGCTTTCTACCTTCAGCTTTGCATTCATAACATAATAATTTTATGCAAACCTTGTTTTCCTGCCTTATGAGTTACTTAACTCCTAAGCCACAAAATTAGGTCATAAACATCTTTAATTACAACATAAGTCTAAACTGCCAATAGAAATTTCATGGAGTGAAGTTCTCACCGCACCGATGAAAAATTCCAAGAAATAGAGACGAACCTGTCATCTGGCTGCTCCAGTAAATGTGCTGTTTTCAGGTTCCTTAAGATGAAGGCAGAAAAGAGGAATTCAGATAAAGCCCTATTAGAAAACAGAATTTGGGTTTTGAAAAATATTTGCAAACTGGAGACATTTCAAAGTCAATTGAGTGTCTTTTTTTTTTTTTTCCAGAAGTGTTCTGCTATCCATAAAAAATCTTTTTAATATGTTTTATGATTTAAGATGGCCTATCACTCTTTACATAAAATGGAACTAATTGTATTCTATATGTTAAGTACTCTATATTATGTGAAAATAAATGGAAATATTAATAGAAAAAATGAAAATAATAATCTAAAATTGTCATTAGCAGTATCAGAAAATATTCTTTCTAATATATTTATCTTTGAAAAAATGATGTTAAGGTATAAAATGGTCATAAGCATGAAAAGCCAGAGTTACCTTTAAGAACTACATTATTATTGCACAATATGGGTAATCTACCCAGAGATCCTGAAAACTTGATTCCATGTATATTTAAACAAAATTGGGGATTATCACTTTTCACATAAATAATTCATGTTCTCACTCTTCTTCCCCTGGAGTAGGTTGTTGTCAGACTTTCTGAATACTTAGCCTAGCATGTCTGAAGCTAACCTGCCAAGGAATTGATGATTCTCCCTTGGGATCAAGCTCTTTCAGTGTGGGTGGTTTTGTGGGCTCAAAATGTATTTATTAGATCTAAAAATGTTAAAAGCATAGAAAACTTGCTCAAAGATATTTCCAAAAATACTAACTAGAAAATTTTCTTAGTTTCATCAAAACCTTTCATTTTATAGTTTGTGCTGTTTCTAATTTCTTCTTTAATGGTGCCTTTCTTCAGGTTACTGAGGAACACTTGAGTGATTATCCTTTAGGAAAAGGAAGGACGAGGAAATTGTGATACTGCTAATGTGGGAAACATTAAATAATTAAGATAATGAAACTCTTACAGTTCATGAAGTGAACATGACATCATGAAGTGTGTTCATTTTCAACACATCATGAAGTGTGATCATTCTTCAATGTTCAGAGAGGTTGCAGACCCCAAAAA